CCACAAACAAAACGAACTCAGCACAGGAGAGTAAGAGGAACAAAGAAAACGTCAGCACCACAAAAAAAAGTACACAGTACACAATACTGGGGAAGCCATCTCATCCTGTACAAGTAAAGGTCATGGAAGCTCCATAGACACTTCCAAACTCCCTGAGGGACTGAATTACTGGGCGGGGGGCTGTAGGGACCATGGTCTCGGGGAACATCTAGCTCAACTGGCATAACACAGTTTATAAAGACAATGTTCTGCATTCTACCTTGCTGAGTACCATCTGCAGTCTTAAAAGCCTGTGAGAAGCCATCTAAGATACTCCACTGGTCTCACCCCTTTGGGAGCAAGGGAGAATGAAGAGAACAAGAAACAAGGAAAAGATCAGTCCAAAGGACTAATGGATGACAGCTACCATGGCCTCCACCAGACTGAGTCCAGTACAGCTAGATGGTTCCCGGCTACCCCCACTGACTGCTCTGACCAGGATCACAATACAGTGTCCTGGACAGAGTTGGAAAAGGATGTAGAACAGAATTCTAACTCACAAAAAAAAAAAAAAAGACCAGTTTACTGGCCCAACAGACTAGAGAAACCCCGAGAGTATGGCTCTTGGACACCTTTTTAGCTCAGTGGTGAAGACACTCCCGAAGTTCACTGTTCAGCTGGGGATTGGACAGCCTCATGGAACAAAGTGGGACTAATGAGGCACAGCAGTACAGGGACAGGGAATGGAAGGTGGGAGGGGACAGGAAAGCTGGTGATAGGGAACCCAAGGTTCAGAAGGGGCAGTGTTGACATGTCGTGGGTTGTTAACCAATATATGTACTAACTGCTTGATGAGAAACTATTTGTTCTGTAAACCTTCATCTAAGGTACAAAAAAAAAAAAAAAGAATTATCTATGTGAGTTAAAATTGACAACAGCAACTCAAAAGGTTTGATGGGAAGCCTACGGGGCAGTGAGTTGAAGATGATGGTGATGGAATACCTTGGAAAAGGATAGTGAGAATAGCAGCACAACTGGAAGAATGTAATCGATGTCACTGAATTGTACATGCAGAAACTTTGAAATGGTGTAATTTTGGCTATGTATATTTTCACCAAAACAAAGGTCCTCCAAGGTCAAGAAGGGAGAGTCTTGACATGTCGTGGGTTTGTTAACCAATGTCATAAAACAATATATGTACTGACTGTTTTATGAGAATTTCTGTAAACTTTCATCTAAAGTATAATAATAAAAAAAAAAAGTACAACGATTAAGCTGTGAAACATCTTACAACATGGAAGTAGCTGGAGGTCATTATGCTGAGTGAAGTTTGTCAGTCACAGAAGGACAAATATTGTATAATACTACTATTATAAGAACTCAAGAAAAGGTTTAAACACAGAAGAAAATATTCTTTGATGGTTACGAGGGTGGGTGAGAGTTATATACTAACTAGATAGTAGATAAGAATTATCTTAGGTGAAAGGAAGGACAGCACACACTACAGGGGAAGTCAGCACCGCTGGACTAAACCAAAGCTAAGAATTTTCCTGAATACAATCAAACACTTTGAGGGACAGAGTAGCAGGGGTAGGGGTCTGGGGACCATGCTTTCAGGGGACATCTAGGTCAATTGGCATAACGAAGCTTATTAAGAAAATGTTCTGCATCCTACTTTGCTGAGTGGTGTCTGGGGTCTTAAAAGCTTGCAAGCGGCCATCTAAGATGCAGCAATTAGTCCCAACCACCTGAAGTAAAGGAGAATGAAGAACACCAAAGACACAAGGAAAGTATTAGCCCAAGAGACAGAAAGGGCCACATAAATCAGAGACTTCATAAGCCTGAAACCAGAAGAACTGGATGGTGCCCAGCTACCACCAATGACCCCCTGACAGGGAACACAACCAAGAGTCCCGATGGAGCAGGAGAAAGGTGGGGTGCAGAACTCAAATTCTAGTAAGAAGACCAGACTTAATGGTCTGACTGAGACTGGAGGTACCCCGGAAAGCATGGCCCCTGGATTCTCTATCAGCCCAGAACTAAAACAATTTCCGAGGCCAACTCTTCAGACAGGGATTGGAGTAGACTGTGGGACATAAAGTGATACTCATGAGGAGTATGCCTCTTAGCTTAAGTAGATACAAGAGACTAAACGGGCAGCTTCTGTCTGGAGGTGAGATGGGTAAGACAAGAGAGGGTTAAGAGCTTGTTGAATGGACATGGGGAATCAAGGGTGGAAAGGAGGAGTGTGCTGTCACAGTATGGGGAGAGCATTTAGAGTCACATAACGATGTATGTATAAATTTTCGTATGGGAAAGAATAATAATAAAAAGGACATCTAGCAGAACTCAAATTCTAGTAAAAAGACCGGACTTAATGATCTGACTGAGACTGGAGGGGCCCCGGAAGACTTGGCCCCCAAACTCTCTGTTAGCCCAGAAATGAAACCATTCCCGAACCCAACTCTTCAGACAAAGATTAGACTGGACTATAAAACATAAAACGATACTCGTAAAGAGAGCACTTCTTAGCTCAAGTAGATACATGAGACTAAACTGGCAGCTCCTGTCCGGAGACAAGATGAGAAGGCAAAAACGGACAGGAGGTGGCTGAGCAGACACAGGAAATCTGGGGTGGAAAGGAAGAGTGTGCTGTCACATTATAGGGAGAGCAGCTAGGATCACATAGCAATGTGTGTATAAATTTTTGTATGAGAAACTGACTTGAACTGTAAACTTTCACTTAAAGCACAATACAAAAGATATAAATAAAAAAAACATCTACAACTGGGTTTGCATTTCCTATTAATCAAGAGCAGCTATTTACCCCGTTAAGTCAAGGAAACCAAACCTGTTGCCATTGGGTCGATTCTGACTCATATGGAAAGTGTAGCTGAAAATAATACTCTAAGTGATAATACTGTTAATATGTAAGAATTTTAAGACTTAAAAATCACTTATCAAATGCTTATTCTGATAAGGCATTACCAACACCACTTTATAATTAATGGAAAACCCCCAATCTGAACTTTTCAAACAATAAATTTATATTATAAAAAGAACTTAGAATCACGGAACATTAGATTTTTGTTACTGCTGTTCTATTCATTCAAACGTTCAACAAACATTTATGGGGCACTAATTGCTATGTTCCAGGCACTATGGAAGGAACTAGGGATAAAAACACAAGGTCCCTGTTATGGATTGAATTGTGTCCCCCAAAAATGTGCGTCAACCTGACTAGGCCATAATTCCCAGTATTGTATGGTTGCCCTCCATTTTGTGACCTGATGTAATTATCCTATTGTTGTAAATCCTAACCTCTATGATGTTAATGAAGAAGGGTTAGAGGCAGTTATGTTGAGGCAGGACACAATCTACAGGATTAGGCTGTATCTTGAGTCGATCTCTTTTGAGATATAAAAAAGTGAACAGAGAGACAGAGGGACCTCATTACCACCAAGCAAGAAGAGCCAGGAGCAGAGCGTTTCCCTTGGACCCAGGGTCCCTGCGCTGCGAAGCTTCTAGAGCAGGGGAAGATTGATGACAAGAACCTTCCCCCAGAGACGACAGAGAGAGAAAGCCTTCCCCTGGAGCTGGCACCCTGAATTTGAACTTCAAGCCTCCTAAACTGTGAAAGAATATATTTCCATTTTTAAAACCACCCATTTGTGGTATTTTCATTATAGGAGCACTACATAACTAAGATACCCCCTATTCCTCAAAGTGTGCACAGTCCAATAAGGAACTCCCATTGTGTAATCAAAGAATTTCTGACCAGCGACTTTTTTGTATTTCTGTTATTACCCAGGTAAGGAAACTGGGACTCATAGCTGTCTAAAATGTCAGTAGCTAAGGTAGACAGACACTCAGGTCTATAAATTTCTTGCCTGATACGTTCTTTGCACCACACTTTTTATTAAGGCAAAGAGTGATGAAGGAGAACTTCCATGTGAGTGAAGCAGAAGCATGGAACTGTGGTCAATGTATGTTATAGTTACCAAATTAGAGACAGAAATCCCTAATGGTTATAGACAATATTAAACATTTAACAATTTAGATACAGAAATTTCTAATAGATGTGATATCATAATAAAGCCCCAATAAACAACCTTTATTAAAGAACTAGGAGTCCCTGGGTAATGCAAATGGTTAAGCGCTCGACTACCAGTTGAAAGTTGGTGGTTCAAACCCACCCAGAGGCACCTCACAAGACAGGCCTGGTAATTTGCTTCCGAAAGGTCACAGGCTTGAAAACTCTATGCAACAGTTCTACTCTGCATATATGGCATCGCCCTGAGTCGGAATCAACTCTTTGGCAACTAACAACAACAATTAAAGAAATAAAAAACTACAATAAGGTTAATACAATAGTAAGCCTTTAACACCATAATTATGTGGGGGTTTTTTTTTCCTCTGTTTTCTGATCTGTAAAATAGGGATATTAAAATTACCTATTTCAGCAGATTGTTGTGAAGATTAAATGGATTAATATTTCTAAAGCGCTTAGCAAACCTGGTACTTAATAAATACTCAGGTAAATGTTAGGTACTCATCGAAAGTCATTTCTTAAATGCATAGGTGTGTCAGATAAAGATAAAAGAAAAAAAAGAACTACATTTAAGGAATCATATGATGGTCTTCTTTTTGTAGCAACTAGTAGATTCTACCACAAAAATACATATTTCAGAAAAGTATAAATTAGTAAGATCTAATACTATCTCTCCTTTCTCTATAAAGACAAATATCAATCCTACGACTACAGAAAAAATATCAATTAAATTATCACTTAATTCAGTATTTGTAAGATTACAAATCCTAAATATAATTTTTAAAATGTTCAAAGATGACTGTCAAGTAATTAAAAAGTTTATGTAGCTTTCCTATCTTACATAAAATATCCTTAAATTAACGTCTGTGAAATAACCAAGCATTGTATACATTAATAATCTATTTCATATTAAAACAAATTATCACCAATGTAAATAATAAAATAAAAAACTGTATTCATATCCACTTACTGCAATCTCTCTACAAGCCGACATGGATATTCCTGTGCCTTCAATTTGCTTCAATGCATATTCCTTTTCATCTTTTCTGCACATGAACAAAAAATAGTCATTATATTTTCTACATATTACTTTCAGGTTTAAAATTGTAACTACAAAAACAATGGAAATGTACTAAGTCTTCTCAATGATATGTAAACACTCTCACTATGCCATGCATTGCTTAATATTGTTTAAAGTATTTCAAATACAGAAATATGAAATACCAAAAGAAATTCATGTCACAATGAAAACATCAAACAGAGCCAAAACACAAAATTCAAAATTGAAAACAGGATACTAAACATGTGTACCAGTTTCAAAGAATAAACAAGCATAAATATAAACTCAAACATACTGCAAGATAATTCCATTCCTGTCTTAATATCTGGAATCTATGAAAGCATTCTGTTACAAATATTCACTACAAATATAACTGACAGACACAGACTCCTAGATCATTTAAAGTAATTCCATAGTACAGAAGCATTTATAGGAGGGAGGAGCCATAGAAGAATGCTGACCCACTGGCATACCCTGGTTCTCATCTAGAATAGAGGACGTTCAAAAGTCCTAAGACATCAGTCAACAGCCTTCAAAAGACTTCAAAACTTCCAGCCACCAACCTCTCATTTGCAGGAACTCTAGGAGAAACCCAGTAATTACAAGTGGATCCTTCAAATAATGGAGGTAGGATTAGGAATTTTGGTGAACCTCAATAGTTACTAGGGTGCTTAACAAAGGGAAGACAGCAGTTCAATAACGGCAATAAATCCCCTCAAATTACTAACAGTGTCAGATTACTGGCTAGTACAACACAGTATACTCAGGGTACTGACACCAGAACCAAACCAGGGCCCCAGCTGAATGCCCTAAATGTAGTTCATACCATGAGCTGTTTGGATAACAGAGGCATAACCCATACCCTCCAACTTTTGTCTTTTGACTGTGTTAGAGCCTCAGCAAGGTGTCACCATGTCATGATGCCTTTGTCAAATGTAGCACCTAATAATACCACATCTGTATTACTCAGCTATTCCTCATTTTCTCCATTCTGCGTTTACTAGCAGAGAAAGCAGTTTAGTAATACTATGCATTTAAAAACATTTTTAAAAACATCCTTTTATTGGCTACCACTACTAAACGGTCTGATCAGGAAAATAACAGAGGAATCCTGATAAAAAGGGAGAAAAATGTGCAACAGAACTTCAAATTCTGAAAGAATCCAAACTTGCTGGACTTACTGAGTCTAGAGGAATCCCCCAAGACTACGGCCCTGAGTTGCTCTTCAAACCTTGAATCAAATCTATCCTCTGAAGTCACCTTTAAACTAACCAACAGTTTAGTCCAGAGAGTAAACATTGTCGCCTTTCAGTACTGTGTTACTTAAAAAAAAAAAAAAATCATCTATATAAGACCAAAGGGTCAACAACTATTTTAAAGCACAGAAGAGAAGGTTGGGGGCGGGGGAGCACCCAGGAAGATTAAGTAAATGGAAATGAAACAACTAGAACAGAAATAACAAGAATGTTTATACAACGTGAAGAATGTAACCAATGTCACTGATTATTCTGTCTAGAAACTATATAATAGGAGTGGGTATTGCTATGCATATTTTCACCAAAAATAAATTTTTAAATAAAATCACTTTACGTGTCTTTTGAAGATTTTCAGCATCCATCTATGTTTTGGGCAAATAATTGAATTATGGTTTTCTCCCATGATCAGTTTGAAAATTATATCCATTTTTTCTTCCAATAAAAGGCATTTAGGAAATAATTAAGTAGCATTTCGATGAACAAAAAACACCAGATATGTCAACAGGATAGACTGCTAATGCGATTCTTAAAATGAAAGCCATGAAGATTAGAAACATTGAAAATGTTTACCATATACTATTGATGAAATACACAAATGATATTATATAAAAATACACATACATATATACATATGTTAAAGGTAATAAAAAATGAAAAACAGTTGTGTTAAGATGGTGGTATTAGAGGGAGTTATTTTGACTAACTTTAGTGCTATTATTACATTACCTTTCTAATTATAATTAGAGGAAAAAAGAAAAAAGCCAAAATAATTTGATACTCTGAAAATATTCACCTACTAAAACAATCTTTAGTATTTTCAAAGTGATATCTTAGGCATGTCTTAAAGAACAATGTCAAAAATAGGAAAAGCCTAAGTGATCGTATTTTTCCTTTTTCTCCATTCTGTTTCCTCCCAATATAAAACTAGACTTTGTTCAGACCACCTGGAAGCCACTAAGAAACACAAGCAGCAGGTGACCAAATGTAACTAAAGCCAAATGTCCTCCTTCTACCTTAAAAGCACATGTATGTGTGTAAAATCACACACGCCTGGGATGCTGTCACAATGCCTATAATGTAAATTTTATACATTTAATCATTAAATCAACTCCCAGGTATTTATTACTAAATATTTAAGCTTAACAAATTCTTGAAACAAAATTGTATCAGCTTTCTGACAAAATTTTCATATGGAACCCTAATTTTTTAACAGAAATACTTCAATCCCCAGCTCTTCTAAATGAAGTACTCCAGAAGCTCATGTAATTGCATACAGTTTTATTTTTAATACTGTAAAGAATATTACACAATCTGGATAGGTTATCGTTGCTATGGAAACTATAAGATTTTTGCAGTAAGTCAAAAAGTGCAAAATCAACACATCACTTTAAGGGCTTTTGAATTTCACATCCAGGCTGTCAAAGGAATTGGAATGCTTAAGCAGAATAGACTGAAGCAAAGGCCTCTTACTCTGAATTATATAGATAGGAACAAGGAACAAACCCAGCAATTACTGCACTTAATAAGTTTAAATATAACTTCCATCTGTTAATAAAATACTCAAAGATCTTCAGATTTAAGATTCCGCAATTTTTAAATTGAGAATGAAGGAAAATATGTATATCATTACCATTTCTCTTTTGTACATTAATTGTCAGATGGTAAGTGATGTGACACCTCTGAGGTCTGCCATATGAAGAAGTAGCGTGGTCCCAGAGGACATATGGGACTGCCTGGCACTGTATTATCTTTGGTCAGATGCCAATACCTTAGTTATGAAGATTAAAGATGCATCTTTTACCACAATGTCCAGAAACATTTCAATGACTAGCACACAGGGTGAGGGAACTTTATTGCTCCCACTGCATGTGTGTGCCCCTCTCCAGTTCTTCCAAGTGATAGTGGCAAGTCATACCCCACAGGTTAGATGTCTCAGGTATACATAATATTAAGCATCATAAAAAATACAATTTGTTCTTTTACACGACAAGGCTGAAAAGCAGGTGAAGCTGGCCCACACTGCTATGATAGCCTGGCTTTTAGAGGCCGCTTACTTCTTCCTTAAAACTATTTTATTTCTAAATAACATAAAGAAAGACACAGCAATCTCAAAATATTTAGCCTTCTGGGAAGCTGCTTTCCAAATTTTAGTACATATTAGACAGTAGGATCAGAGCAACTGCATACTGTTGAAAATAAACAAAGGAATTTACTAAGTAAATTCAGAATAATTAAAAATACATATATTTGTAGCATATAAATGGATATATGCTATATAGAATTTTCTTAAAGACATTTCTTCTATATGTCTGTAATGTATATCAAAACCATACAAGCTTCACTTTCACCGGTCACAAGGAAAAACAATTGTTTAATAGGAACATTATGTAACAATCAAATAGAAAAATAAATTTGGCAGAGACTGATTCTATTAGGTTTTCCATCTGAGACACTGTGTTCTGGAAAACTCTTGATGAAAGCAATTCTATAGATAGTAGAAAAATAAGAAGTGCATATTTGTGCAAAGAGGAGAAATCATTACCTTAAAAGGAAAGCTTTATCCCAGAAAACCAGGCTCAGTGGTAGAATTTAAATGTACTTCAGGGAAGAAATTCTCAAGCCTAGAGAAGCAAGTCCAGGAGGAACACTTCTTAAATGAAATATTAGGAACTGGTTTAATGAAAAAGACACTCATACCTCTTGATAACGTCCAAACAGAGTGGACAGCCCCTCAGTCAACTGAAGCACCATTCAGCAGTGTATAATACAAAGGTATAGTTAAGAACTAACCAAAACTCCTTCTGTTATTGTCAAAATTAGGCCCAAGACTCTTTGGCTCCAATCAATAATACCACCAGGTGTCCAGACCAGCTCTGGCCATCTTCAGTCCCAAGGACCTACAGTAGACAAATCATTTAGAAGCATTTTTAAGAAAAGATGAGCAAATTCAAGCTCAAGCAAAACTGAGGGAAAGACCTTAAAGTTTTCAATCTAAGAGAGTTATCATCCTTTTTTGTTTATAAGAAAAACAGAAGAGCCTTATTATTTTATATCAATCAACAAATAACTCTTAAGTTTATGTTATGTGTCCCAACAGTGGGCCAAACTCTAAGGATGAACAAAATTACAGACTCACTACCTTGGATATCCGGGAGTTCACAATCCACCTAAGAAAAGACACTGAGTGAGGGAGAAATATAAACAAAAACTCTGATATGACACACACACACACACTCCCACCCTCATGAAATATGTGTAACAAGCACAGAGAGAATAAGATTAATAATCCTTCCAGAACCTTAAAGAAGGTACTGCATGTGCCATGCCTTGAAGGGAGAAGTCCCCCAGGCAGAGGAGGGAGAAGAGGGTCAGAGAATTCCAAGCAGAAATACGGCATGGAAAAATAACAAAGGCATATTCAGGAAACAGCTGGTATTCAGTAAGGCTGAAGAGCAGGGTGCATGATGACGAGGGGCAGGGAATTAGGTTAGAAAAGTAAACTTTGCCAGAAAGGGTAGGGACTATGTGAGTCCTACAAAGAAGCTTGTACTTCATATGTAAACACTTTGGAGTCAAAGGTTTTTAGAGCAGAGAAGGAACATTAACAGATCTTTGCTTGAAAAGACAGCTGCGAAGAGAAACTGGTAGCAGGGCAAACATTTGGCAGGCTGCATCAAATGTCCAGATAAGAGAAGATAGGGGATTAGATGAGAATAGTGGCAGAGAAGAATAATAATGGATTCAAAAGACATTTCTGGGACAGAATTTAGTAACCGATCTGATTCTATAACCAATTTGATTCTAGAGTTGAAGGAGAGGAAGACTGAAAATGGATGAAGTTTCCACTTTGTCTAATGGTGTAACTGGTAATGCTATTAAGTGAGAAAATATCAAAGGAGATGTCAAGTTTGGAAAAGTTAATGAAGAAAATGATTTAGGTATGAACTGAGTTTAGTGTATGGAAAATATTCATAGTGACAGCAAAATTTGGAAAGGATGAAAAACAGAAAGGATGTTTCATTTGAGGGGAGAAGTGTGGGACAGCAAGAGGAAAGGCTGTTCATTAATATGCATAACTTTCTGAGGATGCTAACCTCAAACTGTTGAAGTAAAAAGCTCAATAGAGAGAATTGGGAGAGAAATGATGACACATAAATGGAGAGCTAGAGATTTAAGATTTTATTCTAAAGGCAATAAAAATTACCTTAAAATTTTAATCTAATTGGAAAGGTATCTTAGCTACCTAGTGCTGCTGTAACAGAAATGCCACAAGTGGATGGCTTAACAAACAGAAGTTCATTCTCTCACAGTTTAGGAGGCTAGAAGTCTGAACTCAGGGTGCCAGCTCCAGGGGAAGGCTTTCTCTCTCAGTTGGCTCTGGAGGAAGGCCCTTGTCTCAATCTTACTCTGGTCTAGAAGCTCCTCAGCACAAGGACCCCAGGTCCAAAGGACACTGTTATGGATTGAATTGTGTCCCCCATAAATGTACGTCAACTTGGCTAGGCCACGATTCCCAGTATTGTGTGATTGTCCACCATTTTGTCATCTGATGTGATTTTCCTATGTGTTCTAAATCCTACCTCCATGATGTTAATGAGGTGGGATTATCAGCAGTTATGTTAACGAGGCAGGACTCAATCTACAAGATTAGGTTGTATCTTGAGTCGATCTCTTCTGAGATATAAAACAGAAAAGCAAGCAGAGAGACAGGGAGACCTCCTACCACCAAGAAAGCAGCACCAGGAGCACAGAGTGTCCTTTGGACCCGGTGTCCCTGCGCCTGAGAAGCTCCTAGACCAGGGGAAGATTGATGATAAGGACCCTTCCCCAGAATAGACAGAGAAATCCTTCCTCTAGAGCTGGCACCCTGAATTTGGACTTCTAGCCTCCTAAACTGTGAGAGAATAAATTTCTCTTTGTTAAAGCCATCCACTTGTGGTATTTCTGTTATACCAGCACTAGATGACTAAGTCAGATGCACTCTTCTCCCAGCTTTGCATTGTTGGTGGTAGGTGGTCCCCTGTCTCTCTGCTTGCTTCTCTCTTTTATATCTCAAAAGAGATTGACTCAAGATACAACATAATCTTGTAGAGTGAGTCCTGCCTCATTAACATAACTACCTTTAATCCTGCCTCATTAACATCATAGAGGTAGGATTCAGAGCACATAGGAAAATCACATCAGATGACAAAATGGTGGACAATCACAAATACTGGGAATTATGGCCTAGCCAAGTTGACACACATTTTGGGGGGATACAATTCAATTCATAACAAAATGACTGAGATTAGAGGCATGAAAAACAAGTAGGAGGTTACTGCAATGTATGTGTGAGAAGGTGAGAATCTGGATTAGTATAACAGAATGTCAGCTCTGAAAGAGGTTTAAGACAATCCTGTACAACCTCCTCACTTTAAAGATGAAGAAACTAGGCTAGCAGCTAGAGGTAGAGCAGACATCAGTACCCAGATCTTCCAACTCCACGTCCAGCATTCTCCATAATAGTTGGGTTAACAGTAAGATTGGAGAAAAGAAGGAATACTTTTGAGACAGTCACTTTAAAGAAGGAATTGGTAGAACCAAATGAATAGATAAAGAAGGATGAATCAAGGATGACTCTGAAGTTCTGTGCTTGGCTGATGGGGAGGATGATATTACTGAGAAAAAGGCTCAGGCCAAATTCAGATGCTTCAGCTCATAAACAATTTTTTTATCTAGAATAAAGCGCTAACCAAAAATGAAAACATCTGAGAAGTTCAAAAGGGAGATTTCTTAAAGATGTTTACTAAGGGCGTATTATAGGAGAGTTTCAGACTGAAAGGGCTTGAACCAACAGATAATACCAATTGAAGGAAGTACTACATATATAAAATGATGCCTTTCTGCTAATCCAGGAAAGAGACTGAGGCAGGAAGGGAGGGAGAAAGAGGGGCAAAGAGGGACAGAGGGAACGATGAAAGAGCAATTTTTGAAAGACACCTTTCCTTCATATTCCTTAAGAAGAAAAACAGTTTCATGAATTTGTCCTTTAAGTTAGCTTTTTCAAACCTTAAGAGTAGAATTCAAATAATGAAATCACCAGAAATGCTGTATTCAAGATGGCACAGTATTACTCATTTTTATAACTAGGTACTACCAGTAAGACATTCTTCAAATAATATGACACCTGAGTCCTGCCAACAATTTCTTCATGAAAAATACTGGCATAAGTGTAGTTAAATGCTCAGCTGCTAACCAAAAGGTCAGCGGTTTGAATCCATCAGCCACTCCATGGAAGAAAGATGTCACAGTCTGCCTTGGAAACCCTATGGGCAGTTCTACTCTGTCCTATAGGGTCACTATGAGTTGGAATCGACTCGATGGCAATGGGTTTGGTTTGGTTTTGGTTTTGTATACCTTTCCTTTAATACTGACAATCTGATTTAGCAGATTAAAAGGCATCCACATCAGGTGGAAAAGTAAGAAAAAACCAACATGGAATAAAAATTTGGAATAACAAAAACCAAAAGGGATTATTTACTTTTACATTGGGATCATTCTGGATTATTCAATATCATAAACCCAATATTCAAGCCAGCCTATTATTAATGATTTCTTATTTGGGAACACTTTTCTTTACTATAATACCATTTAAAAAATTTTAATCATAAAAATTTCCAAAACTAAATAAACAAAAAAACCAAAAGTGATATTTACCACACAGCTTCAACAATTATCAACACACGGCCAATCTTGTTTTATACCCCATCGCCTATTGCTTCCTCTTTTCTTGATTATTTTGAAACAAACCCCAGACAACACATCATTTCACTCATAAATACTTCAATGCCATAACATTTTTAATACCAGGAATATTTTTGGTTTGAATGATAGCAGCCTTTTAAAATAATTCTGAAATGTTAAATATCTTATAAGGTACTGTGATTATTCTGATTTCCCCTTATTAATGAATAAAGTCAAATAATACTAGCACCCTCCTTATGCTTTCATTTACCATATATTTTACCTACTCATTCTATAAACCTTACCAAAATATAGTAATATTCTCTCTTATTCAAAGTCAGGATTCCCTTGCAACATAAAAATCTAACATTTTGATTATCTTTTTTGCCTTCATTCTTTCAGAAAACTGCCTTTATTGACTTAATCTCATCTTATAAACTGGTTAATTAATTTATTTCCTTCTCTAAAAAAATATAATCTTCATTTTATACTATCTCTTCTTTTAGAATTCCAGTTCAGATAAACATTTACTATTTTAAAGGCTCTAAAATTATAAGATTTTAGAAACCCTGTATAAGGCAGTTACTTAATTACTTGTTTTAAGCTTAATATTTTTTTTTAATTTATTTTTTTGTTGTTGTTCTTGCTGAGAATATACAAAGCGCAACATACACCAATTCAACAATTTCTACATGTACAATTCAATGACACTGATTACATTCTTCAAGTAGTACAACCATTCTCTCCCTCATTTTCTGAACTGTTCCTTTCCCATTAACATAAACTCACTGCCCCCTAAGT